ATATATCACAAAGTACACACACACACACACACATATATATATATATATTAGTACAGTTTTGTAATACAGGAAAATGTGTACAAATACCTATAAAGTGGATAAGGGAAACAGAGAGTTGCAAAACAAAACAATACAAAAGGATATAAGAAGGACCCCATAAGCTCATAAGAAAAATGTACATGGTCTCAAGTGTTTCATCGTATGTGAAAGTCACAGTCGCAGTCATAGTTCTCCTGTGAATACAGATTTAAAGGTATATTTTTTTAAAAAAATCCAGAATGTCTTTCCATAAGGAAGTTATTCGTCATTCTGTGAATGTGGACCTTGCTGTGCTTGTGTGTTACTCTTTAAAAAACAAACAGAGAGCGAGCTGCAAAGTCCTTTTAAATTTACACAAACAGCAGACATTCTCTCTCTCCACCTCCCAATTGCCCCAAGCCTCATCAGTGCTCCAAAATGGCAAAGGAACTGGGATGATCTGCTCATGGTGGTCCCTTGGTCCAGTGGATGCCTCTCCTGGTAGAGGGGAGGGGAGGATCATTAGCCCAGGCCCCAAGCCTCGCATGGATGCTTTTCCTCCTCCTCTGCCATAATCTCCCGGCAGTCTTCGAAACTCCCATTATTTATTCTAGGCGCATTTTGCGACTGGGAATTTCATTAGCGTGAGCAGTTCCTGAGCTCTGGGCGCAGTACTGCACCTAAGATTTCAGCTCAAAACTGTGGAGTGGAAGGAAAGGAGGACCTTTTTCTGCCTCCCCGCTTCCAGCTACTCTCTGAAGACTGGAGAAAAGACCCTCTTAAGAATATTAGGGGGGTGGGCAGGGGAAGGACTAGACCATGTGAAAAATGAACAAAATATTTTAGCTGCAGTTCATTCATTTTCAGCTTTGTATTCTTGTTATTAAAAAGTACGCCTGGACGTTCCGTTGTTGCGCCTATAATCTCGGTTTAAGGTGCCATCTAGCCCCTAGCTTTCATATCTCCGTTTCTAACGCTGTCTCCCAGGATCTTGCTTGCTGGCTGCACTTTTCCTTCCATCTGAGCAAATCTGATTACACAGCCAGCAGGGACCTCCCTGAGGCAGAATGAGGAAAACAGCAGCGGGTGTGGCTGGCCGGCCTTTCTCAGTGCCAGTCGTCCTTTCCTCTCCACCTCCCTCCCCTCCCCAAAATAGCATCATCATTTGCAACTACACCCCCCCCCAGCAAGATTTTCTGCTTTGGGGTGGAGGAATAACCAGTCCACCTGAATTCTGGCTGCTTTCGCCTTCTGAACTAGCCCCCACCCCCTGCTTCTGAGACGAAGTTCTTGCCTGCAGGGCTGCATTTGGCAATGGAGGGGGGGTTTTGCAAGTGAATGAGCAGCCAAGGGGAGCTCCAGAGTGGTGGGTGCTGAAGGAAAGTGGCTGGTTAATGAGCAACTGAGGAAGCTGCCCTCCCTTGAGTCAGACCTTTGGCCCACCTACCTCAGTGTTGTATACACTGGCTGGCAGCAGTGGCTCTCCAGGGTTCCGGGCAGGGTCCATTCCCAACCCTGCCTGGAGATGTCACCGGGGATTGAACTTTGGAGCTTCTGCAGGTGATCTGCCGCTGAGCTGCACAAGCCATTCCCCTAAAGTAAGACTCAATTCCTCGTGTTTCTGAGTAACTCTTGAGCTAGGCCACGCGTCCCTCTCGCTCAATATAGCCTACACTGACCAGCAGCAGCTCTCCAGGGTTTCAGACATGGCGTCTCCTTCCTGGTGATGCCACTGGGGATTGAACCTGGCACCTCTCATGCACCGCAGGCACCCTGCCACCAACATCTTGGAGGCCCAGTGGAGTTTTTGGATTTTTCTCAGGGATTTGGAAAGTTCTAGGTCCCCTTTCATGGGACGTGGGTGGTGCTGTGGGTTAAACCACAGGACTTGCCGATCAGAAGGTCGGTGGTTCAAATCCCCGCGACAGGGTGAGCTCCTGTTGCTTGGTCCCTGCTCCTGCCATCCTAGCCATTTGAAAGCACATCAAAGTGCAAGTAGATAAATAGGTACCACACCAGTGGGAAGGTAAACGGTGTTTCCGTGCGCTGCTGTGGTTCGCCAGAAGTGGCTTAGTCATGCTGGCCACATGACCTGGAAGCTGTACGCCGGCTCCCTCAGCCAGTAAAGCGAGATGAGCGCCGCAACCCCAGAGTCGTCCGCGACTGGACCTAATGGTCAGGGGTCCCTTTACCTTTACCTTTAGGTCCCCTTTACTGGATCCTGCACTCCTTGAGAGCGGGCAGGCTTGCTTTGAAACCACTGGTTCTACCAGGCCCCTTCTGTTTCCACGGTGGGTTATTGGCATTTAGACTCCTAAAGCACCCAGGTGCCTCCCCATCTCCCACAGGTGCTTCTGGGCCAAATCCTCAGGATAATTCTGGGCTCCCTTTTGAGGGGTGTGTTAATGCCGAACAGCTCTGAAGGGACAGGGTGTTCACTGTTTGCCGTTGGTTTCCTTGCTTGTTCTGAAGATATTTTATTTCGGTTTTCCTCTGAGACATGACTGCAGTCAATCTGAACGATTGGGCAGAATTGATTCACAAAGGCGTTCAAGGAGTTGGAGATTTGACGGAAGTGCAGGAGTGGAAAGGCGGCGGGGGGGAATACAATATTCGTTTTCCAATCAAATAACCTAATAAAAGATCCTTCTGGGCTGGGCACCGGAATGCTTCCTTCCTCCTCTGCTTCCAAAATCTTCCTGAGCTGTGGGGGGCCGTCTGCTGAGGGCGGTGTGCTGCAAAACACAGTTGGCAGAGCCCTGAGGTTGAGAAAGTCACAGGCGTGGGTCACGCGCAGAGGAATGGGAACTGGCCCAGTTCCCTGCCTGCCTGCCAGAGGAGGAGGAGGAAAGCTTCTGAATGGCTCTGCACCAATTTGGTCATAGGTGATCTCTTGGCTCCCTCTCCTGATTTAATCTTTCCTGCACAGCTGCAGCAGGAAATTGCACTGGGCCTGGATGGGAGTGTGTGTGATAGAGGGGGGAGTGTCCTATGGTGCCAGCCCCCACCTGCTCCTGTGTCTTATCCATTAAGCTGCATATGGCTATTTCTGAAGTTCTGAGAACTTGCTTTTTACATTTTTTTTTTTAAAAAGTGGAAAGCAACCATCTCCTATGGCCGCCAAGACAATGAGAAAATTAAGGCAGTTGCAGGCAGTTGTTCATCCCCCAACAGAGAAGTTTAAAGTTATAAAAAAAAAGAAATGAAATTTATCTGGATGACTTGTCTGTGAGAAACTCATGCTGCACCATTTTCTAAGTGGTCACACACCGACTGCTTAATTATCTGTGCGCCAGAGGCTCCTGGAACCCAGCCTTTACAACTGGGGTGGCTCCTCTCTCTGGATGATGGAGACAACAGTTGCCCCCCTCCAATCTACAGGGAGAATTCCCTAAGAATTCTCAAATATTATAGAAAGGGGCTCTGAGATTATACCTGCCCGCTCCTTTAGTATCATTAGGTGCAGCTCCTCAGGCCCTGGAGATTTGAATTCATTTAAAGTAGCTAGGTGTTCCCTCACTACCTATTTTCCTCTCGTGGGCTGCAGCTCCCTCCTTCCATTGTTTATTCCGTTATCCCCAGATGGGGCACTGCTTTCCTTTTGGGTGTAAAAAGGTAAAGGTAAAGGTACCCCTGCCCATACGGGCCAGTCTTGACAGACTCTGGGGTTGTGCGCCCATCTCACTCAAGAGGCCAGGGGCCAGCGCTGTCCGGAGACACTTCCGGGTCACGTGGCCAGCGTGACCTTTTGGGTGTAGACAGAGGCAAAGTAGGTGTTGAACTGTTCCGCCTTCACCCAATAGCTTTTTTCCATCTTCTGCATGCAGAGAAGCTACCGCTTGCCTGTTGTTCCTCTTGCTTCAGACATAGCTGATGAAACCTTTCGTTATTATTTTCAACCTCTCTTGCAAGCCTGAGCTCATTCTGAGCCTTGGCTGCCTGACCTTCTCCCTGCAACTGTTGGCTACTCGTGTATACTCTTCCTTTGCAATTATATTTTATTGAATTATGCCTAGCAGAGAGGAACTAGATGGAGAAGAGCTTTTCTCCCTTATAAGACTGGAACTTGTGGGCATCCCATGAAACTGAATGTTGAAAGATTCAGGACAGAGAAAAGAAAGGCCTTCTTCACACAGCACGTAGTTCAACTGTGGAAAACAGTGTTTGCCACAAACCTGGATGACTTTAAAAGGTGGTTGGACAGAGCCGTGGGGGAGAGGGCTGGATGGCTATTAGCCATGAGTGCCCTGTCTCCACAATTGGAGACTGCGATGCTTCTGAATATCAGTTGCTGGAAACTGCAGGAGGGGAGAGAACTCTGGTGCTCGTGTCATAGAATCATAAGAGTTGGAAGGAACGCCAGAGGTCATCTAGTCCAACCCCCTGCAATGCAGGAATCCTAGCTAAAGCATCCCTGATAGATGACCCTCCAACCTGTGTTCAAATAACCTCCAGTGAGGGAGAGTCCACCACCTTCCATGGACCAATTGGACTGGCTTCCGAAAAGGCGGCTTCCTATTTTCATATTTAAACCACTCCTTTATTTATGATCATGAGGACTAGAATCTTAGAACAGCAAGGGAGAGGGCTCTGGTGTGCTCAAGTCCTGCTTGCGGACTTCCCACCGGGGCATTTTTTTGGACCACTGTGAGGACAGGATCCTGGACTAGCGGGTCCATTGGCCTGATCTCTCAAGCTCTCCTTACGCCCTTTTCAATTTACAAAGAACGAGATGCTTACAATCTGGAAATGCAGGCAGATGGAAGGGAACAGAAATGGAGGCAGGGTTTAAACAGGCAAGTGGGTGTGCAGCAGTTTGACATATCCAGGCTCCGTTGCCATCATATTGGTCATACCATTGCCTTTAGCTTTTCAATACTTTGCCGGTTGCCCTGGAAATGCCTCTCCTTTGGAACGGTGGGCATCCTTAATAGACGAAATAAAGCGCCCATTCCCAACCGCTCTCTCTGCTTCCTCTGCAGGTGGTTGCTGCGGGTCGGACGAGAAGCAGTATGTCTACGGGGGCTGGGCCTGGGCCTGGTGGTGCATCTCTGACACGCAGAGGTAAGGAGGGGAGCACCCTCATCGCTGGGGGAGGGGGGCAGGCGGCTTTGTGTCAGGGCCCAGCTAGATGTGACTGTGCTGCTTTCCCACATGCTCCTGTATCAAGTGGCTCCTCGTGACTCCCGAAGACCCCCATCTTCCGAGGGCTCCCCTCCCTCTAAGTTGAGTTGCTGCAGGGCGAAGGGTGAGGTAGCGTCCCCTTGGTTAAAGCTGGACAGGCCACAGGGCGATAACATTTGGGGAAGGACCATAGCCAGTGATAGAGCATATGCTTTGCGGGTCCCAGGTTCAATTCTGGGGAACTCCAGGAATGGGACAGACGCTCTGCCTGAAACCTTGAAGAGTCTACCGGTCAGTGTAGACAATACTGAACCAGATGGACCAGTTGTCTCACTCAGTATAAGGTGTCTTCCTGCGTATCGTTCTCCACCTCAGGGGGAACGAACACTGTTCTCCCTTCCAATGCCCTTCTGTCACTTCCGTGCTTCTGAATACCAGCTGCAGGAGGGAAGAGTGTTCTTGCACCCAGAGTTCTGCTTGTGGGTTTCCTACTAGAAACTGGTTGGCCCCTGTGAAAACAGGATGCTGTTCTAGATGGGCCATGGGCCTGATCCCGCAGGGCTCTTCTTATGTTCTTATGCCCATCTGCTGCCTGAAGCAGCCCCCTCACTCTTCCCAACGAGGAATGGTGAAAAGCCTCTGGAGCAACTGATTTCAGGCAGAGAGGTTAAGCCCCTTTATCCAAACACTTTTTGCTGTTAAACTAATAGCCCCCTTCCAAACCCCCCCCTTTTAACTGTGAAAGGGACAGCATTGTGATGGGTGGTCTTTTGCCTCTGGTCAACGGTGCCTTTACTCACACGTCTTCCCCGGTTCAGGGGCGCTTTGGTCTTAATGATAAAAGTAATGAATGGGAGACATCATATCTATTTTGGGAACATGTATAGGGACCTACGATGTCCAAACTCAGCTAGAAAGGATTTATTTCATATACACTGAGGCCTGCAACCCCCAGAACTTTTCCCCAGCGATCCACTCCATTATGGTAGTTGTGGGGCATTTTGTTAATATTTTAAAGCTGCCACATTTGAGGCACAGTCACCCTGCAGCAGATCTGAGCACTGTTTTGCTGTCATGGTTCCTTTCCTTCTCCTGCCACCTCCTGATAATCCAGGAAATTGATTTGTTAGGTAGTTCGTATCACAGAGCTGCTGTTTCTTGGATCCATTTCCTTTGGACCATTTTGGCAAAAAAAGGAAAACTGTCCTTGAGACCAGCTTAAATTTGTAACCTTGACATGATTCAAATGACCCCCAAACCACAGGCTTGGACACACTAGTGTTGTGCAAGGCTCATGTAGTGATGTTAAACTCTCAGGAATAATCTTTTGGAGAATATTCTCGATTAATGAGAATATTAATGAGAATATTAGAGAATTTTCATTTAAAATAGAATATTCATTTTTAATGCATTGAAAATGATATAATTAGTATAGTTGATAAACAAAACTATATGCATACATATAAAAAGAAGCCATTAACATTAAATGTATTATCATTATATGATAATATATTTCAGTATATCAATCTTTGGTAAATGGCACCTTGTACCATTGAATGGGACGCAGGTGGCGCTGTGGGTTAAACCACAGAGCCTAGGACTTGCTGATCAGAAGGTCGGCAGTTTGAATCCCCGCGACGGGGTGAGCTCCCGTTGCTCGGTCCCTGCTCCTGCCAACCTAGCAGTTCGAAAGCACGTCAAAGTGCAAGTAGATAAATAGGTACTGCTTCGGTGGGAAGGTAAACGGTGTTTCTGTGCGCTGCTCTGGTTCGCCAGAGGCGTCTTAGTCATATTGGCCACATGACCCGGAAGCTGTACGCCGGCTCCCTCGGCCAGTAAAGCAAGATGGGCGCCGCAACCCCAGAGTCAGCCACGACTGGACCTTAATGGTCAGGGGTCCCTTTACCTTTACCATTGAATGGCACTGCAAAAACCAGTTACTGGCACTAAGTAAAAATATAGAAACGTCAACTGTTTAAATCAAGGCCACCTCACATAATTGTAAGTGTATAAAGGTACTTTAAGTGTATAAAGCATTAAAGCTACTTTCTGTAAAAAAAACAAACCACGCAGTATGGTCAAGGGCATAGAATTGCTAAGAGTAAGGTCACACCAAAATAGAAAAAAGGCTATTACATATAGTTGAAATACATACAAATTCAAATGTTCATCAAATTAAATGAATAGCATTTTAAAAACTAAAAAATAAAATAAAAATGTTTTCTGTAGCCCACATTTCAGAACTGCCAGTGGTGAATGACACAATGCCCAGTAATGTAACTGGATAAAAAAAATAAATCACTATTCATTACTTACACTGGCAATGTCACAACTTGACTTATTATTTACTAGATTTTTTAAAAGTGGTTGTAAAACTGGTTCTGACATTAGAATTTACAGTGTGGAGAATATTCTCTGGAGAATTTTCTAGCAGAGAATATTCTCAAGAATATTCTCATTTTCAAGAATATTCTCACCTCACCTCACTAGGCCCGTGCAGAACTTGCCATGAGAAACAGCATTACGTAGGTAACAACTAGAGCTCAGAGAAGAGCCTGCCTGCTGCAGCTCTGCAGGTTTCCAGGTTCTGGGCTTGCCTTCTTCCAATTTCTCCCAGTGAAGAGGCACACTAGAATCATTTGACCTTGGAAGAAGCTTCCCGTTGCATCTCTGTGCAACTCACTGGCCTCAGAACAGAGACTCATGGGTACAGGCCCCTCTTACGAGGGACTGGATTCTTTCACACGCCGAATCGAAACGTGTTGGATCAAATCCCCCCCCCCTAAAAAAAATATAACTCTACCGCTTCTAGCTAAATTGGGGAGGGTGCCACCGGCTTCTTTCCTTTTGCCTTTACCCACAATGCAAGAGAAGGAGAGAGAGCCTGGTTGCTGGTTGGCCAGAGGGCAGGAGAGGTGTGCTCTGTGGCCAGCAGGTGATGCTGGGGCGGGTGCATTAATCAGGTCAGGTGGCCTTCTGCATCTGGGAGACTCCGACCCAGAGGAGGTGTGTTGTGGCATCCTGTGGGCTGGGGCAGACCCCTTTGCCAGCCATCTTAAGGGGAGGGGGATCTCCCCTTCACCCCCCACCATGTGTGTATCTCTCTCTCTCTGTCTCTCTGTCTCTCTGCCTTAACTGTGAATGTTGCCTTGCTGTGTGTCTCTTGCGTAGCCTAACAGACTAACTGTTTTCTGTGATGCTGTCGCTGCTGCTGCTGTCCTGAAGCACATTGTGTGTAGTCCACAGGGTCCGGGGGGGGGGGTTGGAGCTGGGGGAATGGGGGGGGGAATCCACAGCATGTGCAAATAATCACCCTAACACCTGCGGGGGCATCTCTGCCTCTGTGGGCACTAACAAGGAAAGGAGAAAGACGGGACTCTCTGGGTTTGCTGCAGGAGGAGCAGAGATCTGCAGTGGGAGGATGGATTTGGGTCTCTCTCCCTGCAGGGGTCGCTGCCCAAGGGTGGGGTTGCCATATCTTAGACTGTGTTATGCAGCTGGGCACTCCCCTCTCTTACAAGATGATTGCCAGAATTTTACTAAAATTCAGGTAAATTCAATTTGTATCTTGCCCTTCCTCCCAAAGGAGCCCAGGGCAGCAAACGCATCCGTTTTTTTTTTTAAAAAAAAACACCATTCCAAATAATAATAATTCTAATAGTGAAAATGCATTCTGAAACAGTTAAAAAGCATACCCCCAGCCAGTGATTTGGGGAATGCCAGGAACAGTGTCGTTTGGCCAATGACACAAATATTCTATAATGCCTCTTGAAAGTCAGCAGAGAAGCACGCCTCACCAGGGAGAGCATTCTGCAGATTGGGAGCCACCACAGAAAAGGCACTGCCCTGGGTCAACACCAGCCATACAGCCCCAGTGTACGAATGTCAAAGCCATTCAAGAATAAAAGAATTCCTTCCAGTAGCATCTTAGAGACCAACTAAGTTTGTTACTGGTATGAGCTTTTGTGTGCATGCACACTTCTTCAAATACACATTCTTCAGGTGTGTATCTGAAGAAGTGTGCATGCACATGAAAGCTCATACCAATAATAAACTTAGTTAGTCTCTAAGGTGCTACTGGAAGGAATTGTTTTATTTTGTTTCGACTACGGCAGACCAACACGGCTACCTACCTTTAACCATTCAAGAATAATATATATATTTTTAAAATCTAAACCAGTGAAGGCTTAAGCTCAAAAGCAAAACCACCTCAGCTGCAGTTACAAATAGAAAAAGCAGGGTTTCCCCGATCCCAGTGAAAGCATGATGAGAAAAAGGGCCCTTTAAACCTGCTATACAGGTAAACAGAGCAGAGCAGTCCAGGGTGGGGATGATGCTTTCATAATTGGGGAGTCCTTTGGGTAGAGTGTGTGTGTGTATTGAGGGTTGTACCCAGAGTAGGGCAGCTTCTTTGGGGGCAACGGTGGCCTTGGCTCAGCATTGCCTCCTTCAAATACCCGGCCCCTCTTGCCTGGCCCCAAGATGCAACCCCCCACCCCAGAGTCCCGTCTTTCCTCCTTGGCGAATTCTGGTGTGCTCTTGCTCTCTGGTAACCACCACCTTTGTGTGTTTGCTGTCCTACCTTTATTTATCACTGTTCAGACTGTCTTTGGAGGTTATGACCATCCTTTGTCGCTGTGAGAATATTGAGACGTCGGAGGGGGTCCCACTGTACGTAACGGGGGTCGCACAGGTAATAATCTGCCCGCTTCTAACCTCTTGTCCCTAACCGGTCTCCTTCTCTCCATTCTTTCTCACGCAGCGGCAGAGCAGCAAGCAGCGACCGTGGCGGCACAAGGACTTGAGTGCTTGCTCTTCTTAATATATTTTTCCCTTTCTCTAGTGGCCGCTCTCGGCACCAGCGCTTTCTCTCTCCTTCGCCTTCCTCCTCCCCCTTGTCTCTGGCTCCTGCTACCTGCTGTTGCACCCCATGGTAATGGAGAGAGAGAGGGGGGGGGAGAGAGAGATGCATGCAAAAGCTCTTCCAAAATTCTCACAGGGTTCTGGGAACATGGCTAGCATCTGCTCATCCACCCCCTCCGCCCGCCCCCCCCACCCCCATTGCCACATCCGCCTGCTTCACCAGCCTCACACAGGGACAGGAAGGCAGCTCGGGGGAGAGAGAGAGGAAAGAGGGGCCTAGGATCCCACCCCTTAGGGACGTAGCAGACTTCCTGGGCCAGTCCCAAAGCAGGCTGTCCTGTGGCACCTGAAATGTGTCAGGAAAAATGTATTCCCTTGCCCCCGCCAAGGGCAGATCACCCTGAGCTGGATGCACCAACCTTCTGACTCGCTGCAAAGCATCTTCCTGTGTCCTAGCCCTGATTGACAGCAGCTCTCCAGCGTTTCTGGCAAAGAAGGGTCTTCCCTGCCCCTAGCCCTTCTCTAAGTTTGGGGGGCTGCCCCCATGCAAAGCAGGTGCTCTGCGCCCCCGTCAGTAGTAGGGTGTTTGGTTGGCCGAGTCGACTCTGTGAGCTGAACACACCACCCATCAGGTGAAAAGCACACGCCTGCCAGGTGCGTTTGCTTCTCTGAAGCTTCGATCCCAACCTCCCCCAGCCAGGGCTTTGCTTCCAGCGTCCCTGACCATTGGCCATGCTGGCCGCCCACCCTGATGGGAGTTGGGAGTCCAGCAACAATGGCAGGGGCACCTGGCCAGAGGAAGGTTGAGAACAACTATACTCGGCCCCTTTCTCTTCCCTCCAGGGACATAGTATAACCACGGAGGGAATCAGATGTTTCCACCTAGGCAGCAGAAGGCCCTCTGTAGTGTGTGACAGGCCCACCTGCCTTCTGTAGTACCGTGTCCAGAGGGATCAGAGCAGCCTTCCTCAGCCCAGGTGATGTGGACTGCAGTTCCCATCAGCCCCACACCGAGCCAGTGCAGCTGTATGATGATGCTGACACTGGTGGGAGCTGTAGTCCAGAACACCTGGAAGGCACCAGGTTGGCAAAGCCCGGGTGGCAGAGCCTGTCATGGTGTGTATGCGTTTTTAAAAAAATACATTTGTGTGTCTCATTCAGCCAGGATTAAAAGAAAGCTTGTGTATGAAACCTCTCCCGCAGCTCAGCTCATAGGAACAAAAGCCAGCCCAAATAGGGATGGCTTTTAAATCCTAACTCCCCAAAGATTTTCCTCCACCTTGGAGGAAACCCAATATTTCCCCCGCATCTAGACAGTCTCCAAGGGTGACCCCAGCACACTACAGTAGCCTAGCCTCAACCTCACAGGGGGTCCTTTTGATGATGCTCAGGTTCATAAACCAGCCAACATCCCAGGGGCCTTTTTCAAAAGCCCGCTTCCTCAGTCCTTTGCCCAGGCAGCTTCCAGTGCTGACCTTCTGTGTGGACACCCTAGGGTGCTTCAGGCAGGCAGCTGTCCTTCAGAGGCCTGAGAAGCAGGAGGGGCCGCCCTCCTCCTGGGAGGGGAAACCTCTCAGTGGGGCCCCTTTGTGTTTACCTGGTCCATGTGGCTTCAAGGCTTTTCTCCACCGGCTTCCAACACAGCCAAGTGGCCCACGTTTTTTAGGGGTGGGGGAGGGAGCCCCCTCTAATTTTTTGGCCAGGCAGCCGTACATCTTGCATCTGCCATTACCTGGGAGGAAAGCAGCAGGTGGCCCCGAGCCACGGGGGAAGAGAGCTGAGCTTGTTACCTGGAAACGTGCCAATGTTTTACGTTTTTTGGCAGGATTTCCCTAGAGATAATGACGTTACAGCCCAGGTGCGAGGACGTAGAGACGGCGGAGGGGGTAGCTTTAACTGTCACAGGTGTGGCCCAGGTACAGTAACTTGAAAACACCTCCTTTCAGGAATGCATTCCTCTGTAACCCTTCCTGGTCTCTCCCTCCCAGGAGGCCACTCTAGCCCAGGGGAGCGAGAGAGGCGCTGTCTGCTCCGAAAACACCCACGGCCCTTTGTTCGATAGCTGATTCTCACCCCCCCCCCTCCACCGCCAGTTCACCGCTGCATGGTCCCCCACCCACGTGGCCCTTGCTTCTCTCCCACCTGGGCAGCAGAGGGCGCTGTCGCCACACGTATCCCTGCTCCTGGGCTGTTGCACTGCCACCCTCGGTCCAAACTCATGCTAGTCTGGAATATTTCTTTGGTGTTTTCTCCTCCTACATATGCAAATGTTCTGATGGTGGCAGGCCTGAAACCACATGGAGCTACTGTTTTTCCTGGAGGGCCTTGTTGGAGCAGAGTGTGGTGTCTCTGTTGTTCCCCGAAGGTGGTAGCTAGCCAAAAAACAACAACCTTGCCCCAGCTTCTGCTGCTTCCATGGACCCCTCCTGGGTGGGGGTCCCCTTAGGTTTGGCCCAGTCATCTGGTCTACCGCAGGGATGGCGGCACACCTGTTGCCCACCAAAAGTCACTGGGCTACCGTTACCCCAGACCATTCGCCAGAGCTCCTGAGCTGGCCCAGCTCCTGAGCTGGTGCTTCGTCCACCCTCTGTCTCTGGAGTGCCGCTGGCTTCAGGGTCATCGCAGCAATGGAGCCATTTTGCAGCCAGAAACACCTCAAGTTTAGCAAGACACTCAGCCCCCCCTCCCCCGGGCAAGTACCAGCTAACTCATTCTGAGTCTGGTTTTCTGCAGTTTTCTTCCATAGGCAAGCACCCACAAATGCCAGAGGCGCAAGCCCCCTTTAAAAAAATGGGGCCTTATTGGTAGAGGCGTCCGTCCTCGCATCGGATGTCAAACAGATAATGAACTATATGAATTTTAGAAGATATATGCAGGCAGCCCTGTACAGGGAAGTTTTTAACGTTTGAGGCTTTATTGTGTTTTTAATATTGTGCTGAGAACCACCCAGAGTGACTGGGGCAACCCAGGCAGATGAGTGACCTATAAATAATAAAAGTATTATTATTAAATTATTATTACTTCAGCCATGCTTGTCCAGCAGGAACTTCCCTTGAACCGGGACCTGAGTGTCCTGGCTAATCTCCACGGTCTTATTGGGAAGGCGAAGGGAAGGTCCGTAACTCAGTGGGCAGAGCATCCGCTTTGCATGCAGAAGATTCAGCCTCCACCTGCATCTTCAGGCTGGAGAGAATATCCCAGTCTTGAAATCCTGGAGAGCCATTGCTGCCGGTCAGTGCAAGCAGTACTGAGATCGATGGACCCAGGGGTCTGAGTCTAAGGCAGCTTCCTGTGTCCCTGCGGTGCTTTGCGAGGCGATCCCCACCATTCACCCCACCCCACCCTGGCCCCTTTTATAGTTCCAGGAGGGGGAAGTGGCAGGGTGAGGCTGGGAGCTTCCCAAGAGCACCCTCCCGTCTTATTTTCAGGGAATAGGGACGTGGATTTCAGGCAGGCCGATAGAACAGGGGGCTGGCGATTCAACTGATGGCGTCCCGCCAGCGGAAGCCCTGCCCAGGGGCTGGCGCAATGAGGCTTCCACCCCCCCTCCTTTCCCCACGTTCCCCGCCCCAATTGGCTCTTGGAAGAGTGGTCAAGAGAACCCCCAGAACAGCGCACAGGAGAGCAGGGATTGTTCAGTGGGGCAAGTAAATCTGCTTGCCCTGGTGGAAGTTTCTCCTGAATAAGGCACTGGGATTCCTCCCATCACATCTGTCTCCTCTCCCTTTCCCCCCCTGTCGTTATTTTTGAGTTTTCTCTGGGGTTGTGCGACGTGGCGATGAACTCCTGGCTTCCCCAATTAAACAGCTGTAGGATTTTTATTTTTTAAAAGTTCATTGCCTTCGTAATCCCGGCTGTGTTAACATTAATAAAGCCTCTATCTCCTGCTATTTTACGTATATTTTATTAAGCCTGCTGGCCAGTTCACATTTTTTATTTGTTTTTTATTTTAAAAAAAACCCTCCTCCTGGGAATGTTTTTTTCCTTTTTCTTTCTGTGCCATTTGTGTGCATTCTCTTTCCAACCAAACCAGATGAGAGAAGGAATTTTGAGGTTATATCTGATGTTATTTCTGCTCAGAGTACAGCAACTGAAGTGACAGGAATGACTGAATGAGATGTGTCAGTTTAATAGGTCTGCTCTGAGCAGAATCTAGTTGGCTAAGACCCCTAAAGGCTAAAGGAGGCGGGGGGGGGAGAGAGACTTGAACCTTAGGAGCGGCCCCAGGATGGGAGAGTGAAATTATGTCCAGCCTACACAGACATACAGGCTTCCTTCCTTCCTGGTGGGTAACCTGCAGAGTCCAGTACAGACCCCCACCACCCAAACTTTCCTGGCTCATTTTTTGCAGTTGGGATAAACAGCTACCCCCTTCCTGCCGATCTCAAGCGGCGCTTGCAATCCCCAAACGGAATAATAAGCTGAAACGGTTACAAGAGAGGCCTGCTGGCTTTGCACCAGCTTGTACCATCCACTGAGATCCAGCGCCGAGGGCCTTCTGGCGGTTCCCTCATTGCGAGAAGTAAGGTTACAGGGAACCAGGCAGAGGGCCTTCTCGGTAGTGGCGCCTGCCCTGTGGAACGCCCTCCCATCAGATGTCAAGGAAATAAGCAGCTATCTTCTCTTTAAAAGACATCTGAAGGCAGCCCTGTTTAGGGAAGTTTTTAATATTTAATGCTGTATTGTTTTTAACACTCGATTGGGAGCCGCTCAGAATGGCTGGGGAAACTTGGCCAGATGGACGGGGTATAAATAATAAATTATTATTATTATTATTATTATTATTATTATTATTATTATTATTATTATTATTATTATTTGCGAAAGAGAAAGAAAAGCACTCAGGTGATCTGGCTGGCCTGTTTACCCTCGAGAGCTGCTCCAGTTTTAAGGAAATGACTTTTCAGGAGAGAGGGGGGTGGGTGGGTGGGTGGGAGAGCAGAAGCAAGTTTGGATACATTATGATGCCAAACCTTCTGAATTGGTCATGCGGGGGTGCTTTTGAGCTCCATGTGCAATGGGTTGATGCCTCAGTTGCCTCCCTCCGGTAGGAGCGAGAGGGGGGTGGGCTCCTGGTTTTGCTTACTGCGGGTGGGGGACCCTGTGGCCCTCCAGCTGTCGCTGGCCTCCAACTCCCAAGTTTCCAAGGGGATGATGGGAGCTGGTGCCCAGCAACATCTGGGGAGGAGTGGCGATGCCCCCACACCTGGCTTACAGCATGTCCTCCTCTTGGATGCAGAGCCAGGGTGCCGGGACCCCCAGAACTCATGGCCTTGCTCCTTTGAGGCTGCTTCCTCTGGGGACACTGTTGGTTTGCTCTCCCGGATCAGGAAGTGATGCAAAGAGTTTTAAAATCAGGCACAGGGCTCTCCTGCAGCCTGCCTCCTAACAAAAACTCCTGGTTTGCTGCTGATGGGTATGAAGAGTCCTGGTGACCTGATCCTTGTGGGGCCGGGCCGAGCTCCCGCAAAGGTGCCCCAGCGTCACAGGCTCTGCTTCTGTCACTAGCCTATCACTTCGACGACCGTATTGGCCCCTTCGCGGCTCACGTCAAATGTCTTCTTCTTTTCTTTCTCTCTCTCTCTTTGCCTGCAGGTGAAAATCCTGACCGAGAGGGAGCTTCTCGCGGTGGCTTGTGAGCAGTTCCTGGGCAAGAACGTGCAGGACATCAAGAATGTGGTCCTCCAGACGCTGGAAGGGCACCTGCGCTCCATCCTAGGTGGGGGGCGTGGCTGGGGGGGGCGCCCTCTCTCGCTTCGCATAAACGTCTGGAAATAAGCGGCTGCAAGGATTGGTGTTCCCAACACTGTTTCAGTAGCATTTTTTTTTGTCAAGGGGGAAAACGTACGTAAAAGCAACTGGGCTATTAAATGCAATGTTACATATATTTAACTGCTTGGTCGCATTCAAAATGTCGTAAATACACAGGTGGTGCTTTTATTGTGTGAAGTAGACGGTTCTTTAATCTGAGGCAATGGCAGTCTTCAACTTCTTATGGAAGAGTAAGGGAAGCTGTGGTTTCTACAGTTCTAGGCTGCATCAACAGAGGTCTTGGGTCCAGGTCAAGGGAAGTCATAGTACCCCTCTATTGTGCCTTGGTCAGACCACACCTCAGGTACTGTGTCCAGTTCTGGGCACCTCAATTTAAGGCTGGAAGGTAGGCAGAGGAGGGCAACCAGGATTATCAAGGGCCTGTAAACTAAGCCTGATGAGGAGCAGTTGAGGGATTTGGGTATGTTTAAACTGGGAAAGAGGAGATGGAGAGGAGACTGGATAGCCACCTTTCAATATCTGAAGGGCTGTCCCATGGAAGAATGAGCAAGATTGTTTCTCCTGCTCTGGGAGGTAGGACTCGAACCAGTGGTTTCAAGTTACAAGAAAGGAGATTCCAACTAAACATCAGGAAGAACTTTATGATGATAAGAGCTGTTCGACACTGGAATGAATTCCCCCTGCAAGTTTCCTTAATGGGAGGTTTTTAAGCAGAGATTAGATGGCCATCTGTCATGGATGCTTTGAGATTCCTGCCTTGCAGAGGGCTGGACTAGATAACCCTTGGGGTCCCTGAGCCAACTCTACTATTCTACCGACTCTACAGGAGTATCCCTATTTTCCTGTTGTAAAGAATTTTTTAGATATATTTAGTGAGTTTTATCAAGCGTTCGCACATTGTAGAGCATGTTGGAACGATGTTTGTGGGTTTTCCGTGCTTTTGCTTATTGATTATGTCAGGGCATTGTGATTGCTTGCAACTTAGGTAGGGAATGTTTTTCATTACCTTCCAATTCCTTTTACATACGATTCCCCTGGACATAATAAAAAAGTGGTTTAACAACAACCCAGAGTGGTTTAACAATCAGTCCTTCCCAGGGAATGCTGGGAATGGTAGTTCTTTGAGGAGCCTGGGGTTCTTCGGAACTACTCTGAGCACCCTTCATAAATGACACATCCCAAGATCTTTAGCGGGGAAGCCATGACCGTTGGAAGCAGTATGATGGCTGGTTCAGATGTTTAGTGCAGATGGGACCTTTCTTTCTGCTCTCTTGGCTTGGCAGAAGCACATGCCGTACGGGCGTCTCCTGGACTCCCTCCTTCGTAGCCACTTTGCCTCCATAGCGCCTGCCACCATCTTGTCTTCTGCCTCCCCCTTCTGCAGGGACCTTGACCGTCGAGCAGATCTACCAGGACAGGGACCAGTTTGCCAAGCTCGTGCGGGAAGTGGCGGCTCCTGATGTGGGCCGGATGGGCATTGAGATCCTGAGTTTCACTATCAAGGTACGAGCCGCGTCCCTTTTTGAGTTAGCCCTCGCTGCCTCCTGTGGGAGGGAGTTCCGCAGTCTAACTCTGCACTGCTTGAAGAAGTGCTTCCATTTATCTGCTCTGACCCTCCAGCCTGCAGCTTTGTTGGGGGCCCAGGGGTTCTAGGATTAGGAGAGAGGGAGGAAAACCTCCATCCAATGTCTCCATGCCAGACATCATTTTATATGCCTCTCGTCATGTCTGGTCATCCGTTTCAATACCCCAGAAAGGCCTTTGTTGCTTAGTGGATTATTCAAATACATAGGAAGCTGCCGTATGCAGAGTCAGGCCATCTAGCTCAGTGCTGCCTGCACTAACTGGCAGCAGCAGCTGTCCAAGGGGTCTCTCCCAGCTCTACCCTGAGATGCCATTGGGGATTGAACCCAGGGCCTTCTGCATGCTACACAGGGGCTCGGACGCTGAACTGCGGCCCTAGATCTCGGAGAGGCAGGGAAGTTCCCGGTCTGCATTCCTGTCCGCTGAGCTACGTCTCTCATGTTTCCTGAATGGAGCAATTTCTCTCCTCCCCGTGCAGGATGTCTACGATAAAGTCAGCTACCTGAGCTCACTAGGGAAGACCCAGACCGCCGTGGTGCAGAGAGACGCCGACATCGGGGTGGCTGAGGCAGAGCGAGACGCCGGCATCCGGGTACGTCAAATGGCGCAGGAGGAGAGGCCCGTCTTACGCTCCTGCCCAGGCTCCAGCGTCACTCTGAGCGTGGTCAGCTGACCTCTGCCTTCTGACTGTTTTCCTCCTGCAGGAGGCAGAATACAAGAGAGAAATGCTGGATGTGAAGTTCATGGCGGACACCAAGGTAGCCGACTCGAAGCGTGCCTTCGAAATGCAGAAAGCCGCCTTCAGCCAAGAGATCAACATAAAGGTGCGTGGAGAGGGTTGGGACTCAGAGGAGCGCTTTGGGGCTTCGGGAGAAAGGACATTCTAACTTCTGGGGTGGGTAGGTGTAGGATAAATCAGCCAGAGTGTTAACCAACCACCAAGGGGTTTGAGAAATCGGTTTGTCTGAGATGGCTCCGCATGGCTGCTGCCTGCCCACAGCAGAGACACAATACTGGGTGTTGTGCAGGCAGGATAAAAATTGGGAAGTGGTTTCAGTAACAAAAGGGAAGAATAAATAGGCTGTGGAGCGGAGACCTGGAAGAGGAGGCTAGTTGAGTTCCAGGCCCCAAGTTCCAGGTGTTAATATTAGTATATAAAGCCTTTAACAACTTGAGACCAGCTTACCTGTGAAATGCACCCACTCAGCCTGCTTTGGTTGGTGGAACTGACTCTGTTACAGGCACTATATATGCCCTGTTCTGCATTTGTAAGAACTCAATATTTTAGTGGGGCAGCACCTACACTTTGGAACTCCCTGCCTATTGACACCAGGCAGGCAAGGAGTCTTTAGGCCCCTGCTAAGAATTCTTGTTTTGACAAGCCTGCACTGACGTTTGGACACCTGATGCAAGTTCTAATCTGCTTTTAGTCTATAGTCCATTGCAACTTGAAAGTCTTAAGTTATTGTGGTTAATTCTTTTTATTGATAATTATATTGTTTTGGTGGTTTTTTGTGCAAACTGCTTTGAGGTTGTTGTTTTTCACAGTTAAGTGACATATAAGTTAAAATGAATTTACAGTTTGCAGAGAGGGATTGGGGACATCATTGCACAAGGACAGGGAAATGTAGGATGCCCCAAGCCTCAGAGTGACTTAGAGGGCTCATCAGGACGAAGTGGGGGCTTTTTTTGACCGCAGACCGTGTCAACAACTTGTGGCCCCTTCCCCATCTCTTTGCAGACGGCGCAGGCCCAGCTGGCGTACGAGCTGCAAGGAGCCAAAGAGCAGCAGAAGATCCGCCAAGAGGAGATTGAGATTGAGGTCGTGCAGCGCCGGAAGCAGATTGACGTTGAGGAACAGGAAGTCATCCGCATGGACAAGGAGCTCATCGCCACTGTCAAGTTGCCAGCGGAAGCAGAGGCGCACCGCATGCAGGAGATTGCCGAGGGAGAGAAGTGAGTGGGGGTGCAGGGTGGGATTTCCCTTTCTTAGGGGGCCTTGCGCAGCCAGAGGGGCCTGGGGATGTGTCCCCAAGTAAAGCTTCCCGTGAACCCCCCTGTGATAACTTTTGCTGTGTGGAGGGTCTGGAAAGCCCCTGCTCTGAGCCACCGCTGGAGGAGGCGTCCCACTCTTAGGCCTTGTGTGCCCCACATCCTGGGGGAACATCTCCGACCAAGCTCTCTCTCCCTCTCAAGGGTGAAGCAGGTGCTGATCGCTCGGGCCGAAGGGGAGAAGATCCGCAAGATCGGAGAGGCGGAGGCCCTGGTGATCGAGGCCATTGGCAAAGCGGAGGCTGAGAAGATGAAGCTCAAGGCAGAGGCCTACCAGCAGTATGGGGAGGCTGCCAAGATGGCCTTGGTCCTGGACGCCCTGCCCCAGGTGAGGAGGCTGATGGGGATGGGAGGGAAGAGCTGCCTGCCTGCATCTCTCTCTTCCCCTGGGGCCTGTGCCTGGATCCTGACACGCTGCCTTCTCTCTGTCCCTCTCAGATTGCCGCCAAGGTGGCCGCACCTCTCTCAAAGGTGGATGAAATCGTCATCCTCAGCGGGGATAACAACAAGATGACTACGGATGTGAACCGGCTGCTGGCTGAGCTCCCTGCGTCCGTCCATGCCCTCACGGGGGTCGACCTCTCCAAGGTGAGGCAGGTGGGGCAGGCCGTGGTGTCTACCTGCCCTTTGAAATAATACTTTTTAAAAAAAAGAAATGCCGCTTTTAATTTCTGCTTCTTTCTTAACTGGAGCTCACGGCAGATGGGCCATTGGCCTGATCCAGCAGGCCCTTCTTTCTTGAATACCAGAACTCATTGGAGCCACCCGTGAAGCTGAATGCTGGGGGGTTAAGGAGGGACGAAAGGGAGTCCTCATTCTCACAGCATACTCTTAAAACAATGGCATTGACGGCCACACAACATTCAGTGTTAGTGCTCCAAACGAGTGGCTTTATTTTTATTATTAATTAATTTCTATACTGCCCTTCATCCGAGGATCATAGGGCAGTTTATAAGATAAAAACATCAAAATACGTAGCATAGTAACAAACAGAAATAATAACCGCCCCACCACACGAAGGAATGTTCTTTCCTGGCACCTAAAGCTATGTAACAAGGGCAAGAGGTGAGCTTCCCTGGGGAGAGGATTAAGGAATTGTTTTGGAGGATATGGCTGTTGGGCTACCAGCCACAATGCCCCTGTGGCATTGCTGGAGACAGTTAAATGCCCCTGAATGCCTGTTCCTGGGGATTGCAAGTGGGGAGAGTGTTGCTGTTGCGCTCGGGTCCATCTTAGATGTTTCCTACAATAGGCGTCTGTTTGGCCCCTGCGAGAACACAAGTTGGACTGGGCGGGGCTCCCTTTGGTCTGATCCAGCCAGCTCTTCTGATGTTACATGCATTTGGATACATCCTAAGCTTCCACAACCAGATGGTTCCCAAGCTTAAGGAGCAGTTTTTTGCCTACATTTGGGTGCCATTTTGAATTCCCCAGCGACACTGCCGATGAGTTCCAGGCTAAGTTAAAGCCTCAAATGGTCAGGACTGCAGTACCTCAAGGACCGCCTCTCCCCATAAGAACCGACCCAGACCCTGCAATTGTCATCAGAGGCCCTTCTTTGTGCGACTCCTCTGCAAGGTGTCCAGGGGGTGGCAACACGAGAACAGGGCCTTTTCTGCAGTGGCTCCCTGGTTTGTAAGATGCTCTCCCCAGGGAGGCTCCCCTGGCACCTTCATTATACACCTTTAGCTGTCAGGCAAAAACGTTCCTCTTCAACCAGGCCTTGGGCTGATTAATATTCGACAGCCTTTTAAATGTGTGGGGCTGGGGGGGGCTTGTTCCTATCTTGTCGTTTCTGTTTTAACTATTTATTTGCGCTTTTGTCCTGAGAACCTTTGAGGGAAGAGTAGCATATAAGCAAGTAAGAAGCTACGGGAAGGAGGAAACTGTCCCTGACTGCCTTTGTCCACCCTCTCTTCTCCCCCGCAGATCCCGCTCATTCAGAAAGCGACCGGAGCCCAGGCCTGAGAGGAGGCCAGCTGGTGAAGAGCCCCCCTCTCCTTCCATTTATGCACTTCCCACCGACTGCCGCAAACACTGCGAGCTCCTCTTCATCCGTGGAGACGGTGGGGGCTACTCTCGGGTGCCTTATATCTTTTTCGGGGGATCTGAGCGGGGGCGTCCCCGCTAGTCCTTGCATTTCCAAGAGAGGTTTCCTTCTTTTGTAACCCCCAGCCCCGCTCTGTGTCATGCTAGCCAACACTTTCTCCCCTCTCTTGTCTGTGCTCTTGCAAAGTCTGTGCCTTGACCGACCGCTGCGCCGTTCTCGGGGCAGGGAGGACGCACCCCCAAATTGGGAGGAGGCCCAACGCTGGGCCCTGCTGCCCCAGTGGAGGAGAACTTCCCCCTTCCATATGCTTTTGTGCTGCGGAGGGGACACGGCCCTTCAAGGCGCTGATGGCGGGGGGGGGGATTCATGGCCACTGCCCCTCTCGGTGCCACCGGCGGATTGAGATTGAGCCATATCTGCCAGTGGGGTGCCCTGCGGTCCCTGCGCTCTTGGAGCTCCAAAGGGGGCAGGCGGCGGAGGGTGGAGGCCGCCATATTGTTACACGCCCGCTCAGCCCAACCCCTTGCTGGGACCTCAAGCCGTGAGCACCCGGCGGGCGTCCCCGCAGCCCAGGGCCAAATCAATGCCACGACCTCCCGTTCCGCAAACGCCATGAACATATCTTGCTCGCCATCAGTCCGAATACACAACACACACAGTGCCTGATTTCTTCGGTGGTCCATCACGCTTGCCCTGCATCCACAGTTGGCAGGAACCTCAAGAACCCCTCTGGCATCCTGCCTTCTGCTCCCGTGTCTTGCAGATGCCCGCCAGGCCGTGGTCAGCCTGCATATGCTCCCTGGGGTTACTTCACCCACTCATCCCTCCAGAACTAGGAAGGGAGAGGAAAGACACGCGAGACTCTGGCAAACTGCTTGTCTGCTTTCTCCCTGAACCGTGGAAGAAAGGGAGCCGGTCTTGTATCCTAAGATGGGAATTTCGAAGCAGTCCCTCCCTGCCCCACTGGCGAGAGGCCCTGGAGCCCCTTGCCTGGCATTACCCTGGGGTTGGCATTACCCTGTGTGCACTAGAATGGAAGGCACTTGCCTTCTGCACCTCTTGTCTCGCAAAACGCGGCCCCCTCTCTTTCCCCACTCCTCTGTGCCGTAGAGATCCCCTTCTCCCTTTGCAATTTGCCCCCACCCTCCAGATATAAACATGGCTCCATGACAGTTTGGGGGAGGTGCAGGAGGGCAGTGGAAGGCGCTCCCTCCCCCCTTTGCAGGGTTTCTATGCACCTTCCTGCTCCCCAGTCTGTACTGTTCACACAAACGTCTGTACTGTTTATTATTCTTACATGTGAAGCGTGCCTGTTTGCTCTCCGCATGCGGGGGGGGGTATCCCAGCCATGCTTTCTTGCAATTGCCTCCTGTGCAGGCTGCTGCTGCTGCATTTCAGAGCCCCCCCTCACTTTTTATACCCCACCTAAGTACTGTGAAGGAGGTGGGAGGGTGCCAAGTTCTTTATTTTTATTTTATTCGGAGCAGGATCTGGGTTTGTGCCGCCAAAGGTTCAGTGGGGGGAGGCAGCAGAGGGGTTATTCGGGGGGGGGCGTTTCTGGAAGCTTGGGTGGAAGTGAGGGGCTCTTTGGGGCCCAAGCATGTTCCCCCACCCCACATACAAAGGCCTGAGTGGTGCCCCTCTGCCAGCTTTCAGGGAGAGAGCACTGGATTCCAGTCCCCATTTTACCTTCCCTCTTCTCCCCCCCCCCCATGTCGCCTGCTCTCCTGGCCCCCCCCCACGCCACGCGTTCTCTGCATGGATATGTGGTGCATGACCGCCTGTGCCAGGATTCGCCGGGGGCCCCGTGTGCATCCCAAGTGTGAAATAATGTACAATAAAAAGTTATTGTGACCTCACCAGCCCTTCGTCTCATCTTTTTCTGTCCTGGTTTCCAAAGAGGAGACGGTGCAAGCGGGGGCCTCTCTGGGGTGGTGGGAACCCCACTGCTGCTCTTGGGAGATACAGGGGGGCTCTCCCCTTCCCACCCCACCTGCTGTGGGTCTCCAGGCATGGCTCAGCTTATTATCACATTTTTATCCTGGGAGTCATTCTGGACTCACCGCTGTCCATGGAGGCACAGGTCAATTCTGTGTCCAGGGCGGCTGTCTACCAGGATGAGACCCTTCCCTGCCCGCAGACTGTCTCGCCAGAGTGGTGCATGCTCTGGTTATCTCTCGCTTGGACTACTGCAATGCGCTCTATGTGGGGCTACCTTTGAAGGTGACTCGGAAACTGCAACTAATCCAGAATGCGGCAGCTAGACTGGTGACTGGGAGCGGCTGCCGAGACCACATAACACCGGTCTTGAAAGACTTACATTGGCTCCCAGGACGTTTCCGAGCACAATTCAAAGTGTTGGTGCTGACCTTTAAAGCCCTAAACGGCCTCAGCCCAGCATACCTGAAGGAGCATCTCCACCCCCATCGTTCTGCCCAGACCTGTCCAGCGCCGAGAGGCCTTCTGGTGGTTCCCTCACTGCAAGAAGCAAAGCTACAGGGAACCAGGCAGAGGGCCTTCTCGGTGGTGGCGCCCGCCATGTGGAACGCCCTCCCGCCAGATGTCAAAGAGTAAAATAACTACCAAACTTTTAGAAGACATCTGAAGGCAGCCCTGTTTAGGGAAGCTTTTAATGTTTAATAGGTTATTGCATTTTAGTGTTCTGTTGGAAGCCGCCCAGAGTGGCTGGGGAAACCCAGCCAGATAGGCGGGGTATAAATAATAAATTATTATTACTATTATCCCACCTTTTCTTCCAAGGAGCTCACAACAACCCTGTGAGGCGGGTTTGGCTGAGAGACAGCGACTGGGCCCAAGCTCACGCCCAGGGAGCTTCGTGGCCAAGTAGGGATTCGAACCCCGGCCTCTCCCAGGTCCTCATCTGACTGTCTGAACTGCACTGGTTTCTGGAAGCATCGGAAGGCGTCCCATTAGCTTCCTGAGTGCCTCTGAAGTTGGCATTTCTATTTCGATGGCTTTTGAGGCATGCCTGGTGGCAGAGGAGTGGGCTGCAGCAGGGCCAGCCCGGCTTGCTTCTCCCACAGATAGGTTTGCCTGGGAGGAGACGGTTCTTTAGCCCAGGAGGAGGAGGAGGGCTGGTGTCAGATGAAGCGGAGGGGCTTCAGATAAGGCCAGGGCGCGGTCCCTTTCCCCCTTTTCTTTTTTGCCAAAGGAGGCTCGGCTTCTTATCTGCACACCACAGACACCACCCTAGAGCCGCCTCCTGCTGATGCATCTCTGCAGCAGGGCAAATCTTTGGACTCGGGGGGGGCGAAGGCAAGGAGCTTTGTGTGATAGAGAACCCTGGAAAAAATGGGGTGGGGAGAGACTGCCGGGTGACGATGGCCTGGCAGAAAACAAGTGCCTTTATGGATGGAAGCTGTCTGTGGGCGAGAATGGGTATGGCCAGGTACAGCTTGACCTCTCTCCCCAGGAAATATATGACTACCCAGACCCTGAGATCATCTTCTGAGACCCTCCTACATGTGCCTTGTCCTCAAGAGGTCTGGAGGGTGGCAACACAAGAAGGGCCTTTTCTGCAGTGGCTCCCTGACTCTGGAATGCTCTCCCCAGGGAGGTTTGCCTGGCACCTTCATTATACACCTTTAGGCAACAGGCGAAAACGTTCTTTTTTAACCAGGCCTTTGGGTGATTGACATCCTATGCCCTCCCTTTTAAAATGTGGTTTTTTTGGGGGTATTGTTTTTATTTTGATTATGTATTCTGTGGTTTTATATTTTGATTTTATTCTGTGAACCACCCTGAGATAGGGTGGTATATAATTTAAAAATAAAAATGGGGCACTCCTAAGAAACACTCCTCCCTGTATGGCATCTCTCCTCGCAAGTAAACACACTTTTTCAAGAGACTTCAGTCTGAGTTGCTTCCAGACGTTTGAGCACCTGTCCCCATACATTCGCACCAAGTTTTGAGGCAGTGTGTATGAATACCATTTTTTAAAAAACAGATAAAAACATTAAAAAACGTGGGAAGAAAATGCAACTGAAAAGCTGGCTGTTAAAATCAAATTAGCCTGAGGTCTAGCGCCCACAAAGGCCTTGGAGTCACAAGTTAACAACTCCTAAATTCTATTAGGAACGTGGGTGATCCCCTAAGGTCAAAGGAATATGGGTGTGCAGTTTAGTTTGGGGTCAGGAACCTTTTTCAGCCTGAGCGCCACATTGCCTTCTGGCCGGGGTGGGTGAGGCCAGAGGCAACAGTGGGCAGAGGAATGAATGCAAAAATTACCTTCATACAGCAGGCTGGTTTCTATGCCCGCATTTGCACACCTCTCCAGGCAAGTGCACAATTCCTGGACCGGGAAAATTTGGCCACAGTAGTTCATGCAATGGCAAGACTGGATTACTGCAATGCACTCTGTGCATGGCGTCCCTTAAACCTGATCCAGAAGCTGCAGTTGGTGCAGGATGCTGCAGTCCGATTGCTGACAGGAAGGAAGGCCTTGTCAGCACATAACTCCTGTGTTCAGAGATCTGCACTGGTTGCCAATTTGCTACTGAGCCAAGCTCAAGGTGTAACTATTAGTATAAAAGGTAAAGGGGCCCCTGACCATTAGGTCCAGTCGTGGCCAACTCTGGGGTTGCGGCGCTCATCTCGCTTTACTGACCGAGGGAGCCGGCGTACAGCTTCCGGGTCATGTGGCCAGCAGGACTAAGCCACTTCTGGCGAACCAGAGCAGCGCACGGAAACACCGTTTGGATTTGAACCACCGACCTTCTAATTGGCAAGCCCTAGGCTCTGTGGTTTAACCCACAGCGCCACCCGCCATTCCACTCAGGAGGTTTTCCTATAACACAGACCAAATTCCTTCAAAAGCTTTAGGTGACAAGTTCCCGCCAGCATCAGCTTTCTGCAGAAGAGACCCACTGAAATTAATGGACGTGACACTGGGTGGGCCCTCTAGCCTGGCCCAGCAGGGCTCTTCTGAATGAATGGGTGGCTACCTTTCCCTGTCCCGCCTGCCCTCCACTTTTGCAATCTACGCGGCCAGATTGAAAGGAGCCCAGATGCCTCCCGCGTCCAATTCCATCTGGCTGGGCTGGGCCCCCGATAACAAGGCAGAGACACGTGCAGCCTTAATCGGTCCCTGACAGGCAAGCCTTCCAGGAACCGCCACCCCTGCAGACAAACAAGCTTGCGTCAAGTCAGCTTTTGCAGGGCCTCAGACAAGAAGAATGCGTTCCATGGGCCCATTTCTCTGCCTTGACCATTGAGGTGGCCCCCCTCTTAGGAACATGCACACAAAGCTGGTGGTCTGCCTGCCCCCCAAAAATAAAGCAGTCCATATGGTTCTGAATCAAGGGCTGTTTTCAACAGGGACAGAGGGAGTGTCGGATCAAATGCCTCCTAAAAAAATAAAGCAAGACACCCCCCCAGCCCTTATGTTTCTTTTTTAAAAATATTTTTATTAAACAAATTTAACAAATCAAATTATAAACCAAATATAACCAATTACATTTCCCCCCTCCCTCCAAAGACTTCCCTAAGCTCCCCTCTCTGATTTATTTATACATATTATTCTCTGCATGTTATAAAATTGTACGTATCATTGCCTTATCTATCATATGTTCTGCTAATAAATTGGTGGATGTTTATTCAAAACCTGCCAAGGAATCCAAATCCTTTTGTTGTCTTTCTAGATCATTTGTAAATAGTTCCCGTTCTTCCTTAAAGTCACGGTTGACCTTCTCACGCAGTTTATATGTTAACTTTGCCAACTCCGCATAGCTCATCGGTTTTCCTTCCCAACCCTTATGTTTCTGAAGTAAGGAGTTGATTTGAAATAGGAACAGAGAAGGCAAGATGGCTCGCAATGAGTTGCTCAGTCAGTAGAGCATGAGGCCCATGTTGGGCAGAAGATTCCTGCATTGCAGAGGGTTGGGCTAGATGACCCTCAGGGTCACTTCCAACTTCACAATTCCATTAAGATTCCTTATCCTGAGTCAGCAGTGACAAACCTAGGCAGCATCTTAAAAAGCAGAGACATCACCTTGCCGACAAAGGTCCATATAGTTCAAGCTCTGGTTTTCCCAGTAGTGATGTATGGAAGTGAGAGCTGGACCATAAAGAAGGCTGATCGCCGAAGAATGGATGCTTTTGAATTCTGGTGCTGGAGGAGACTCTGGAGAGTCCCAAGAAGATCAAACCGATCCATTCTGAAGGAAATCAGCCCTGAGTGCTCACTGGAAGGACAGATCCTGAAGCTGAGGCTCCAATATTTTGGCCACCTCATGAGAAGAGAAGACTCCCTGGAAAAGACCTTGGTGTTGGGAAAGATGGAGGGCACAAGGAGAAGGGGACGACAGAGGACGAGATGGTGGGACAGTGTTCTCGAAGCTACCAAACTGCGGGAGGCAGTGGAAGACAGGAGGGCCTGGTGTGCTCTGGTCCAGGGGGTCAAGAAGAGGCGGACACGACTAAACGACTAAACAACAACAAATCCTGAGTCATCAAGCTCACTGCTCCTACAATGGCTGGCAGCAGCTCACCAGGGTTTCAGGCAGAGGACATTCCCATACCTCACTTGCAGGTGCAGAGTGGTTGAGCTTGCAACCTTCTGCATGCAAAGCATTGCATTGCATTGCATAGCAAAGCATTTTACTGCTTTGCCACTGAGCTATGGGCTTTCCTGAAATATTTAGGAACCTGAGAAGCTGCCCAATACAGTGGTACCTCAGGTTAAGAACTTAATTTGTTCCAGAGGTCTGTTCTTAACCTGAAACTGTTCTTAACCTGAGACACCACTTTAGCTAATGGGGCCTCGCACCGCGGAGCACAATTTCTGTTCTCATCCTGAAGCAAAGTTCTTAACCTGAGGTACTATTTCTAGGTTAGCAGAGTCTGTAATATGAACGTATGTAACCTGAGGCATCTGTAACCCGAGGTACCACCGTACTGAATCAGGTAGCTACGGGGGTCTCATCCAGCTCAGACTGCCTACACTGACTGGCAGAGGCCCTCCAGGGTCTCTGACATGGGACATTTCCTAGCCCACATTCCTGGGTCATAGAATCACAGAATGGTAGATTTGGAAGGGGGGGACCCCCAACGGTCATCTAGTCCCACCCCTTGCAATGCAGGAATCGCAGCTTAAAGCACCTCCAGTGAAGGACACTCCATTGCTAATCCATTCCACTGTCCAGCAGCCCTTACTAAGTTCTTCCTAATTTTCAGCCTTTCTTGTCCTTTGAATCTTTTGGTTCTGGTCCTCCTGGCTATCACTTCACCTCTGGGTCTCCCCTCCTCTGGAGGACAGGGCTTAAAGGAGGCGGGGGGGGCAGCACCTCTCTCTCTTAGGAACTGGTCCCAGTTCAGGGGGCTGGCGGCTGGCGGGTCTCTCTGTCCCTCCCCACCTGATGTCCTCAAAGTACTTTAATTTCCTAGAAGTTGCTGGCCGTGGGTGGGTCAGGGTGTGGGGTGGAGGGGTGCCAAGTTCAGGCAAGGGGGGGGCTGAAACGGGTTGGCAGGGCTGAGCAGCTATGCAAATAAGGCCCAGGGTATATAAACATCTGCTTCAAAAGCCCCCACCAGATGCGGATCTTGGAGGGCGTCCGTTGCAACTCAGAATGGTAAGCATACAGAATGGGGCAGGTTATTAGGGCTGTGTCTGGATAGCTTCCACTGTTTTAGATCCCTTTTTCTAAAAGAATATTTGCACTGCTTTGTTGTATTTTTAAAAATTAATAAATAATATAATAATAAATTTTATTTATACCCCGCCCTCCCCAGCCAGAGCTGGGCTCAGGGCGGCTAACACCAGTAAAATTAATGTAAAAACATAATGGGGGGGGAACCAATTTAAAATACAGGTTAAAATGCAATTTAAAATGCAGCCTCATTTTAAAAGTAGTCCATAGATCAAAACCATAAAGGGAGGGAAACATATATACGCATTTTGTGTTTGACTTAGTTGGAAGACACACACAAACACAACACACATTTATATTATATGTATCGGCTGGCATTAAAAACAATAATATTTCCCTGAGAGTTATCTGTTCATTTTAACAGATTTCCTCTCTCTTGCTCTTATTTTGCATAGCCTCGTTGTACGCCGCTTAAAAACTACGGGTGTTAAGCAGCATAAAAATGCCTGAAATAAATAAATACCGTATGATTTTTAAAAAATTGCTTGCAAGAGGACTCTTCAGAACGTCTGAAGCAAGAGAGAATAAATTAAACCCAGTTAACATAAGACCTTATAATTTTAATGGGTCTCCTCCGAGTATGACTCATTTGTTTGCGGGAGGAGGTGGTGGTGGAAGAACCCTTAAAACGAATCGGGGTATGTTGTTTTCCTGAGGATGTTTGTCCTACTCAGAGTAGACCTACTAATATGAACGGACACAACTAATTTAGGCTCCACACTTGAGTTAAGCCTTAGGCGGCTACAGCCCTTTTGGTAGATGACTTAACAGATTTTAAATATTAAGCACTTAAGAAATGCTATTAAATAACTCTGGCTGTGTGTGTGGGGGGGTGAGCGGCGAAAGATTTCTGCATTGCAGGGGGCTGGAGTAGATGACCCTCAGGAGACCCTTCAAATTCTATATATATATATATAGAATTTTTGTGCACTTGTACCGCCCCTCATGCACAAGCCTTTCTTCCTTGTTTTCCACAAGGAGCTGCATGTGGGTCTCCCCTCCACCCACCCTATATTCTCCCTACAACAACTGCACCAGGCAGGCCAGGCTGGGTCAGTTTTACAGCTGAGGGGGGTCTGAACCCATGGTTCTCTTAACCCAACTGCAGTCCAGTACTCTAACCACTATACCACACTGTGCAGCACTAAAAAAAGGCTGTGAGAACCTGCCGCAGATGGGTGTCTTGCCCAGTACAGCATGCATTGGAAGTTTTAAAACAGATGTTAGGTGGTCACCTGTCGGGGATTCATGAGCTGTGTTTGGAAGGGGGTTGGACTAGATGACCCTTGGGATTCCTCCAAATAAAATGAAAATACACCAGCCTTCTCCTGCAAGATGGTGCCCTCCAGATGCTATGGACTACAAATCCCATCCTCCTTGACCGTGCTCCATGCTGGCTGGAGATGATGGAAATTGTAGTACAAAACTAAGTTTGGAGACAGCTGATACACACATTAAAAAGAAGAAAGTAAGTCCTGTTTTACCTCCTGGCGTGAGAATGAGACAGTTGCACTGTGTGAATGATTAAAGTTTGGCAGAGTCCACATGTCAGTTTTGTGGCCGGGGGAGCGGGTTCGAATTCCCAGTGTGAGTTTCCCACACCTAAACCTCCATTCCTTCTCCTTACAGCTCCCCACTCGCCAAAGTCTGCTGCGGAGCGAAACCGACCCATTGAGGTTTCAGGCTGGATATCATCATATACTGTAAGTTGGAATGAGACACTACAGTATAGATGATGTACTACCTTGAACTCCTGGAGCCGCCGAGATCCCAAAGCACCCTTTCGTTGTCCTCAGCGCTCCCCACCGGAGCTGAGGTTGGGCTGAGCCCAGCTTGGTTGGGGTGGGAGGGTAGAAATTGATTATTTTGAAAGCGCAGAGCCCAGCTTTATTTTTAAGGCCTTTCCACCAGTGGTCTTCACCCCACCAGAATGACTGTGAAATATGGGACCTTCTCTATCTCCGCCGCCCTTAACTCTAGGTATTTCAGAGCAGTGCAGTTCACCTATGGAACTCCTTCCCACAGGAGGAAGTGATGGCTACCAGCTTGGATGGAGACAGTGAGGCTTCTGAATACCAGTTGTTGGAAACCACAAGAGGGGAAAGGGCTCTTGGGTCCTGCTTGCAGGTTTCCCATAATAGGATCTGTTTGGCCCCAGTGAGAACAGGATGCTGAGCTAGCTGGGCCATTGGCCTGATCCAGCTGAGCTCTTCTGACCTTCTTCTACGTCCCTCCAGATGTTGCTGGACTCAGCCCCTTCTACCCTGATCCTTGCAACATCTGGAGGACCACAGGGTCCCTATCCCTGACAGTGATGAGGGGCAAGGCACCCTTCTTTAGTCTCCCATTGGACCACAGGAAATATATCTAAGAAGTTGACTTATTGGCAGCTCAGACTGCGTGACTTTTCTAGCCCAGGGTTTTTCACCTGCCTTAGCAGCAGTTCTTCAGAAATAAGATTTTCCCTTCATCCTTTTTGGAAAAAAAGTTAGAAGCAGCTTAGAGTTTGTGTTGCCGGGGTGTGTGGGTGTGCGTGCAACATTGACTGGACAAGAAGAAGAAAATGCAATCCTGCTCAGAAGACAAATCTTGCGGGGTGTCAGCAAAACCGTTACCATTACTGAGTTTAGTAATGGTAATGGTTCTTCTGCCATCTTGCCCGGCATCTGACTCCACAGAAGCAGGAATTTCGGCTTCATCTGATGACAGGGGGCTCCTTTTCACATCAGCCTATATCAGGCCGCTTGCTTCTCGCTCCTGTAAGAAATAAAAAAAGTTATGGAAGCTTTTGCATTTCCCTTTTATTTGCAGAGGGAGGGGTTCACAAGGATGGCCAACTGGAGCACTGCCATGGGTCTACCTGTGGTATTTATTATTATTTATTTATAAAACATTTGTATAGTGTGTTATATAAAATATATAAAAGAGGTTGACACCAATAAAAACATACCCAAAAAAAGTAAAAATTAGACACCAATCAAGAACATGGAAAGATGCATTCTTAATTGCCTGTGTAAGCCTGGCAGAATGGGAAAGTTTTCAGCAGACATTTTAAAGTTGAAACAAGAGGCGCCTGCTGAATTTCCAGTGGCAGTGAGTTCCACCAGACTGGGTCAATGACACCAAAGGCTCAGTTTCTCATTGCTGTTGGAGGAGGGCTATTGGGAATGCTGTGCCCCAAAATTCTGAAGCCAGCACTGCAGGAAGAGGGAGAATTAGAACACAATTCTTGAACGTTTCAAATTGTGCCACAGGTTTCTCGAAAGCACATCTGAGCTCTGTTGAGGAAAAAATTGCAGAAGCTTGCCCTCCATATAATCTTAGAATTGTAGAGCTGGAAGGGAACCCCAAAGGTCATCCAGTCCAACCCCCCCTGCTGCCATGCAGGAATCTCAAATAAAGCGTCCCTGACAGATGGCTTTCCAACCTCTGCTTAAAAACCTCCAAGGAAGGAAAGTCCACAACACCGTTCCGCTGTCGAACAGCTCTTACCATCCACTCCCCGCCTAAATCCACACCCCCCCCCGGGAACACTGGGTGGGCTTTAGGGTGGTTTGTGAAAGGTGGGGGTGGGTGAGGCCTAAAAGGGCCCCTCCCTGTGAATGGAGCATGTGTCCTGGAATGTTAATGCTCAGAACATTAATGCTTACGGCATCACCTGGGTAGCAGGAAAATAATGGAAAGCAGAGACCTTAAAAAGGGAGGCTGGGCTTGACCTCTTCACCCTCATGAAGCTCCCTAGGCCAGCCTGGGGCCATTCACCTTGCAGGGTCGTTGTAAAGGGTGAGTTGGCTAGAAGAGGCACAAACTCTACCCTGAGCAACTTGGGATATACAATCCCATTAAAATTACAAGATAAGTTAGGTAAAGGTACCCCTGACCATTAGGTCCAGTCGTGGACGACTCTGGAGTTGCGGTGCTCATCTTGCTCTATAGGCCGAGGGAGCCGGCGTTTGTCCACAGACAGCTTCCGGGTCATGTGGCCAGCATGACTGAGCTGTTTCTGGCAAACCAGAGCAGCGCACGGAAACGCCGTTTACCTTCCAGAGCGGTAACTATTTATCTAATAATAATAATAATAATAAATTTTATTTATATCCCGCCCTCCCCTGCCGAAGCTGGGCTCAGGGCGGCTAACAACATTCTAAAACATTCATTATAAAATTAATCAAATCAAATTAAAGTCAAATTAATGGCAACCATCAAGCAAAATTCTGTGCAGATTGCCGATTGCCAGAGGAGGGGGTCAGGCTGCGCCCTGACCAAAGGCCTGGTGGAACAGCTCTGTCTTGCAGGCCCTGCAGGGCCCTAGTCTCTTGTGACAGAGCGTTCCACCAGATTGGAGCCGCGGCCGAGAAGGCCCTGGCTCTAGTTGAGGCCAGCCTAACCTCTCTATGGCCTGGGATCTTTAGGATGTTTTTATTTGCAGACCGTAGATTTCTCTGTGGGACATACCAGGAGAGGCGGTCCCGTAGGTACGAGGGTCCTAGGCCGTATAGGGCTTTAAAGGTTAAAACCAGCACCTTAAACCTGATCCTGTACTCCACCGGGAGCCAGTGCAGCTGGTATAATACCGGATGGATATGATCTCGTAGCGAAGACCCCGTAAGGAGTCTCGCCGCGGCATTCTGCACCTGCTGGAGTTTCTACTTGCACATGAAGTGCTTTCAAACTGCTAGGTGGGCAGGAGCAGGGACCAAGCAACGGGAGCTCATCCCGTCGCGGGGATTTGAACCGCTGAAAAAGCTATGGTTTTCCCAGTCGTGATGTATGGAAGTGAGAGCTGGACCATAAAGAAGGCTGATGGCCGAAGAATGGATGCTTTTGAATTCTGGTTCTGGAGGAGACTCTTGAGAGTCCCATGGACTGCAAGAAGATCCAACCTCTCCATTCTGAAGGAAATCAGCCCTGAGAGCTCACTGGAAGGACAGATCCTGAAGCTGAGGCTCCAAGACTTTGGCCTCCTCACGAGAAGAGAAGACTCCCTGGAAAAGACCCTGATGTTGGGAAAGATGGAGGGCACAAGGAGAAGGGGATGACAGAGGACGAGATGGTTGGACAGTGTTCTTGAAGCTACCAGCATGAGTTTGACCAAACTGCGGGAGGCAGTGGAGGACAGAGGTGCCTGGCGTGCTCTGGTCCAGGGGGTCACGAAGAGGCGGACACGACTAAAGAACAACGATGCTTATCAATGTTTTTCCTCATTTCCCCTGCAAATGGTTCGCTCTATCAAGGCAGAGGCGTCTTCCAGGTCCAGGAAACTTAATTCCTGGTCAGAGGCTTGTTTCCTCTCGCAGCTTTATAAGCGGCTTCCATTTATTCACTGGCATAAAGTGACTCCCTGCGCTCTTCATCGTGGGAAATTCGTTGCAGGGATTCAACTCGGGGCACGTGACTGAAAACGGCCACCCCGTGACTGCGGAAAAACGGATATGCAACTGATACTCTTTGGGAAGTGATGTCACTTCCTATTTCCGGTGGTGACCCTTCCGGTTTCCGCTGGCGATGTGGAACAAGGGGGGCAGAGAGTTAAGCTTAACCCTTCAGGGTGTACTAAGTTGTGAAGAAATAATAAAAATAAAAATAATTGCCACAGGCTCTTCCTCCGACTTCCGCCACCGAAGCCGCTCTGGCCACTGCCACCCTTGCTCTCTATGGTTCTCCTCTTCCGCCCCCTCCAGCCAATCAGAGGGCACGGCTGCTTTCTTTCCCCTCCCTCCCAGAATGCATTTCGTGCTCCAAGATGGCGCCGCCCGTCCGCTGAGGCGTTTCTTGAGCTTCGACGGCGCGCCGGTGGTTGCCATGGCGGCGGTGGCGGCGGCGTGCCTGTCCCGGCGTGGCTGGCGGGCCTTCGGCCTGGCCGGACTTGGGGCCTCGGCGGGGAGAGGGAGGCCGTCGTCACGCTGCGCCTGCTCAGGTGGCGTTGGGCTTGGTTAATCTTTGGAACTCGCCGCCGCATGCTGTGAGGTTGTCTCGCTGCCGTCACTGGAGGGAAGCTGGATCAATCTGTAGATTGATCAGTAGAAGGCCCAAAGCTAAAGCTTTTTTAGTTTTCGGGAAAGGGCCTTTAATATTGTTTTTAATACTGTAGGCCAACCTGGGAGCTTAGGCTGAAGGGTGGGCAATTCATTCATTCGTTAATTATATCTTAAGTGCTGGCAGGACACCTGCTTTGCATGCAGAAGGCTCCAGGTTCAATGCCAAGTAGCATCTCCAGCTAGCAGCTAAAACACTGGAGAGCTGCTGCCAGCGAAAGTAAACAATACTGAGCTTGTTGGCTTTACTCAGTATAAGGCAGCTGACCATTTTCTCCTGTTGTTCTGCATGAAAATCCTTTGCCTTAGCTCCCTTCTTCCTGCCAACAGTGCCTCTGTGCTTCCTGGCCATTAATAGCCCTGCTTCCTAGAATTTCTTTGTACAGTGGTACCTCGGGTTAAGAACAGGCCTGTTTACGAACTATTCGGTTTACAAACTCCACAAAACTGGAAGTAGTGTCCTGGTTTGCGAACTGTACCAGTTTACAAGCAGAATCCGAACGGTGGAAGGGCACCGTCAGCAGGAGGCCTCATTAGGGAAAGTGCACCTCAGTTTAAGAACAGTTTCGGTTTAAGAACGGACTTCCGGAATGGATTAAGTTTGTAAACCAAGGTACCACTGTATTCCTTAGCCTTCTACCTGCAAAAGTGTTTCCATTTCTAGAACCTGCGTTCACCAGAGGAAAGTGTACGCCTCCTTCCCCTTCTTTCTCAGCAGGTTGACTGCAAACACTCTTTGGTTCCTGACAATTTTCCTGCCTCTCTCATTAACACTAGAACATGTGGGCATCCAATGAAGCTGAATGCTTGAAGATTCAAGAGAGTGAAAAGGAAATCCTTCTTCATGTAGTGCATAGTTAAACTGGAAAACTCACTTCCATAGGGGGCAGTGATGGCTGACAACCTGGATGGCTTTTAAAAAGTAGACAAATGCATTACGATTAGCCATGATAGCTATGCTTTGCCCTCCACAGCTAGAGGCAGGGATATGCCTGAATACCAGTTCCTGGAAACTCCAGGAGGGGGCTCTTGTGCTCAAATCCTGCTTGACGGTTTCCCATTGGGGCATCTGGTCAGCCACTGTGAGAACAGAATGCTGGACTAGTTGGAGCAGGCTCTTCTTATCTTCTTATGAGTAGTTGTAATGTTTGCCAGCATTCTGTGCCGTCACACCCATAGTTCAGCTGTATCAGAGCAAGTTCAACCCCCACAAATGCCCGACATTCTGGGTTCTTGGTCCTGAGGTTTCCCCACCACATCCTTGATCTGCCATAGGAGTATTTCTAAAATGCTGGTTTTCTCTCTTGTTATTTGCTTTAGGTATCAGCCTCCATTTCTCGAAGGACGCATCCCATCAGGGCAGGATTGTCCCTGCTCGCTTGTATGGAAACGACTCTGCCCTGGATTACATCCTTGGGATTACTAAAGAAGATGCCCCATCTTTGGTTGGTCAGCACCCACCGCCTTTGAGCGCCTTTAAAGGTGAACCTTGACTTCTGTCAGTTATGTTTGGGTAGCAGGCCGAAATTGATTTCCCTTGGTAGAAGCTGATTGGAATTATATTATCGTAGGGACATGGGTGGCGCTGTGGGTTAAACCACTGAGCCTCTGGGCTTGCCGATCAGAAGGTCGGCGGTTCAAATCCCCGTGACGGGGTGAGCTCCCGTTGCTTGATCCCTGCTCCGGCCAACCTAGCAGTTTGAAAGCACATCAAAGTGCAAGTAGATAAATAGGTACCACTCCAGCGGG